ACACACACACACACACACAGCAGCTTGCTTTGGTCCACGCACTTTCCTTCACTTTCTCCCCCTGATGTGTTTATTCCATACCTTTCTGGGATAAGGACGTTGGCATCCGAGCAGAGGACAAGCAAGAGCCAAAAAAAAAAAAAAAGAACTGAGGTCTGGCCGTGCACTGGTGGCTCACGCCTGTCATCCTAGCTACTCAGGAGGCTGAGATCTGAGGATCTTGGTTCAAAGCCAACCCAGGTAGGAAAGTCCTTGAAACTCTTATCTATAATTAACCACCAGAAAACTGCAAGTGTCACTGTCTCTCAAAGCGCTACCCTTGAGCAAAAGAGCACAGGGAGAGCTCTCAGACCCCATGAGCAACAAAAAGAAGAAGAAGAAGAACTAAGATCTGCTTCAAAGTAGAGACCCTCACTGCAGTGAGTGGGTGCCCCAGCATGGCATCCCCCCATGCACCCTTGACTCACCAATGGTCCAGTTATATGACTCCCTCTCTAGGGAAACTGAGGCCCTAGGGAAGAAGCACTGCTTGGTAGGGAGCCCAGGTCCTAACTGTTGGCCCCATCGTCTTTCCAAGGTGGTAGGGAAGGGGGCCACTGTCTTTGGATCTCACAGAGCAGAGGCGGGTGCCGACAGAGGGGCACTCCTGAAAGTCCAAGAGGAGAGGAGTACACCGGGCTGAGGCCTCCAAGTGGCGCTCACCAGGCCACAGTGGCAGTGGGGAGGGAGGCAGGGAGGCGGCACAGTCCACAGCATGGGGTCCCGAGCTCCCTATCCTTGCCAGAGCTGGCCCTGTGCCAGTGTGCCCCTGGCAGAGCAGCACATTTATCTCCCTGCTCCATCCAAGCCTTCCAAAGGGAGCAGACGCCTGCCCTTGGGGCAAACCCAGACACCAGCCATAGGACGGGCTATCCCTGAAACCTGGCCCTGGGGAGGGGGTCACGGGCAGCTCCCCCAGCAGGCCTCCTGTGCTTGCTTAGGCCGCTGGGAGATGGAGTGAGCCCCCCTCCTGCCCCCTATCTCACTCCTGCCAACCACCCCCCCCAGCCCCACCTCGGGCCTGGGGCAGTCAATGCTGGAGTGCTGGTCCGCAGCCTCTCCAGGCCATTCCGCCCCCTCTGATCTAATCAGGCTGAACTCCCACTAACGCGGGACCCAGGCTCCCTGCCCAGCGCCCTCAGACCTCCGCAGGCTCAGCCAGACAAGCCCCGGCTGCTGCTCACTGTGAGCTGCCTTTCAGCTTCTGCAAGGACAGCTTCGTGGGCCCCGCCACAAAGTTCCCCCTCCAGGGGCCAGGGGGCAGGGGAGCAGAGCCAGGGTCCCACCCCTAAGGCCCCTGGAGGGGGAGCTTTGTGGCAGGGCCCACATGACTGCACAGGGGCTCTTCTCTGTGGAGACTTTGAACTTAAGGTGTCTCTGTCCTGCAGAGGAGCCCGCAGAGGCCAAGGGAGAGAAGTGCCAGCCTTGGAGGATCTCTGGCACCCTCGCCCTACAGAGCTTAACATTAGGCTGAGGCACAAGCGACACACTGTAAGCACTCCGTAGTTAATATGCAAAAGCTCTGTTAGCCAGGCAATCACACCTGTAATCCTGACTACTCAGGAAGCTGAGATCTGAGAATCACCATTCCAAGAGAGCCAGAGCTGAGAATTCTTTTTTTTTTTTTTTTGGG